CATTAGAAGTGGAAAATTAAATGAGCATTATCTCAGAGATAACGTAGAATCAAATTTATTTTCAAACACAATAAAAGTCACTGAAGTTTTAAAGAATGGAAATACAAGCAGAGGTCAGATTTTGCAAATGCTGTCGTCTAATTTTCCGATATTATAGTTTGCGAATAAAAGGTAACTATGTATTGTGGTCCTTAGCAGACAGTTGTTCTTTACAGGTCAAATATTCCGGGAAATATTGGATGAATATTTGTCCAGATTGTTTTCCACATCATCATTCAAAATAAATAATGTTAGAGTGCAGGGCCTAAATTTCGAAACTTGAAAATAAATTAACCCAGAATAAAGCCCAATTAACAATATAGATAATATTAACTAATGTTAACGAATATAATGTTTATATATCTTAGAAGATTGTTCCCATTCTACCTTATTTGTTGGGTGGCTATGTTGTTTGTATGGGGAAAGGGCTTAAATTATAATATCAAGGTTAAACTTTAAACTTAAAAGTGTATAGTAAAACACAGTATAATACCGTATGCTACTCCTAATACTGATGGTTACAATGGCAGTCATGTCAATCAGACATTAGAAACATTTCTGAGGTGAAGCAGTGAAAAGTATATCAGACAGACTGGCTCAGAAATGACTGTTACACAGGCTGCAGAAGAGAGGAAAATGTAACTGGAGGTGAAAGTAACTATTACACTGAATGTTAACACTGCTGTCAGAAACTCTCATTTGTGTTGAGTTTAGCGCCCCTGTAGACAAAATTATATATCTTTACTTGACTTATACCCCGTTCATAAATAAGTTGTGTTCCCGATCGGATCGTAATCAAATGTTCTTGGTGTGTGTGCTGTAAAATCTTTGTCTGACACTGATCAATTTTCAATGATGAAAGGGATTAAAATACAAGTACAGAAATAATCAATATTCTTCTGATTGTCTTGTTTGCTTTTATGGGAAGAACATAGGGGGAAAATAAAAAACTAATCTCAGACGCTGAAGTGTGACATCAATACTTAAATAAAAAACTGCACTACCAATGAGAAAAACTTAGCAAGATCTTTACTTTGCAGTTAGAGGTGGGCTCAAGTCTGCAGAGTCTGCTACCAAATCCCTCAGCAGCAAGACAGAGCTTCACATGTTCATCCTGGGAGGTGAACGTACTCTGCAGAACCACGTCATCCCCCTGAAAAAAACAAACGTACACAGAGACAACAGCAGTGAGCACAAAAAAAATTGAGTAAAGTCATGGTGTGACTATAAAATTAAGACTGCACTGATAGTTTTTGGGAAGGCGAGAGCTGAAACTGATCAGGAATAGACTTTCATATCAATATTGCTAGCCAAAAAAATCCTGTTAACCAACCCACAAATACCTGTCAAATAAGTAACCTTGAATAAATCAAATAAGAATACATCACGTGCCGACACCAATAACTGATGATTACTTACCGGTACTTTTAAAGACCAGTAGCAATAGGATAACCAATAACATAAAATTTTAGTACAAAATGAAATTATAAACCTGTAGTCAATGTCCCCTAAGGGTAATGTTTTAATAATCAAAGATGGATTTCCATAGTATCATAAACTGTTCCGTGCTCACGGCGAAATAAGTCCTGCAAATTTCAGTCGTGTTGTCTTATTCTGAGATAAAATATTTTGAGACTAGATGCATGGTATTTTCTTTTCACAGAATTTTAACATTTAAGTTAGTGTGATTAATCATGTGTGGCATCAATGGTAGTCTACTTAAGTGTTTTCGGCACTTTGGTGAATAAAAACAGAAGTTGTCATAGTCACACAGACGACCCCTAAAATTAAGAAAGACAAGCATAGTGACTCATAAATAATAATAATATAATATATAATATATAATAATATATTATAATTTGCCCCAAAAATGTTGTCTAGAACAGAATTTGTTTGAATTACTTAAATGTAGATAAAGAACCTGCTAGAATCAGCTATTTGATAGATTTATATTTTTAAATGATTTACCCTGACAGAAAAAGCATGTACAGTAGATCTTCCACCTTAAATGTATCTTATCTTCATTGAAATGCCTACATCCAAAGATTTGGCTTTTCAATTCTATTTCAGGAACCGTAGAGAGTGATAACAGACGACTGGTCTCAAAAAGCCCAGCCAGGACCACCAACACCTCTCTGTACCCAGGCTGCAGACCTCCATATTGGGAAGATACTTTACTGTCTGACCCCTTATTCACCCTGGTATCCACTTTTCATATCAGCAGCACTCTGCAATCAGTCAAACACACTGTCCAACTCGGAGGCACTGTCTGCCATTCAGATAGCTAGAGGAGCTCAGCTCGTCTTACATTTTTAAAGTGAAAATGTACGCATACACGTTACCTAATCCAAATGTCAAAAAGCCTAATATATCATTATATCGCTGCAACAGGTATTAGGAAGATGTAGAAAGACAATCTCCAATAACTTCCATAAATATAATACACGTTTTGATATTAAAAAAAAAAACATCGACCTTTGGAGAAAAGCAGGTAAATCAAAAACTCCAAGTAAAACAAAAAAGAACTGTTTCCTGGATAAAAAAAAACCTGATTTATAGTAATAGTATATTAATGCATGAAACAAACTTCAAAATGTTAGTTCCCCCAATAGCAGGGCTTGGTTGGTTTAGTTTATCTGCATTAGTGCCTGTGTGAGGATAGGTGTTTGTGTCATATCTACAACAGATACTCCCTGTGACATGCCTTATCAGAGGGCAAAGATAACAAGAGGCCATACAACTTACAACTAGGGAACACTGACAGCATCTCCAAGTGAAAATGAAACAAGCCATTTGTGGTCTTTCTTTTCAATCAGTGACTAAGCAAACCGAGGTGATGAAGATAGAAAAATCCTGCTGGGAGATTGCAATAAAAGTAAAGCAGATTTAATACATAAATCTTACCATAATTGCTTTGTTTTTTTGTAAATTATACTAAACCTTATTATTTGAATTAAATAGGAAACTAGTAAAAAAAAAACTAAAAAAAAAACTTTTAGTTGACAACTGATTTCCGCCATGAATACTAAGGTAAGACTTTACATGTAACAAAGTCTAAAGAAAATCATTCAAAATAATACAGTATTGAGAAATATTGTCATTGAGCTACTGCTTTGTTGTTGTGTTTAAAAAGTCATCATAGTATCTAAAAATGAAGGGTAGCTACAAGCTAGGAGACACTTTAATGAGCAGCTACTTCTGAGGAAATATCCTCATACTCAAGACATTAAACCCATACAACATAATTCAAGGGTTTTATCAGCTTTTGACCAAGTAGTTAGCCATAAGGTTAGTTTAAAAAACGGGGGTCTTACCGTTCTTAAAAACTGGTATTCTTCATCTCCCTCTCCTGTGTCAGTCATTTTCTGAACCAAGGAAGCCACATTAGAAAAGACTTAGGAAATTTTGATGGCACTGAAGCAGAAAAGTGAATACTGGAGGAGCAGGAGCAAGAAGGTGTTCAGCTGTTCATAATGTGTGGGCGGAGTCTTCTAGTGGGATCCGGTCCTCCCACGACGCCATTTTTATCAACTATTTTGGCGGGAGTAATGTAAAATTAAAATGCAACATTTCTAACTTACAGTAGTTTTATTTTTTTCACTTTGGCCATCAGAACATTAAATTGTTATAATTATTATCATTATGATTCACTTGCAAAGTACAATCTCTGACTATTTGTTTTTGGTGTACTTTTTCCGTTTCTTTGCCCAAAATGTATCTGAATGTGTATACAATTAATTATCAGCATTCATACAGAGTATAAGGCTACAATAAGAAAGACCCGCCTCCTCTTTTTTGATAAAGTAGGCAGATTCAAATGTCTTAGGGGGGAAATCAAGGACTGGAGTTAAAATGGTTGTTGTGCAGACTGGAATAGGATACTTAAATTTGAGTCCACTCTCAAAAAGGCTTGTTAAATAGAATAGTTACAAACCTTAACTAGAGTAACTAAACCCTAAAACCACTTTTTTTCCAACTATAAACCTCTGTATTTGAGTATTAAGTAGTGTTATGGATCAATCCAATCCAAATCTCGACATTTGAGTACAAAGTATTGAAATTTGAAATATTGTGTTAGAAATGTGCAGTGTCTGCTCTTCTGTTTGAACTAACTCAATGAGGGCATTAGTTGCTACACTAAAATATTGTTGTTTTGAGTAGAATTTGAAACATCAAATTTAAGTCAATCTGACTTAAAATAAATGAAGCCATTGTCCTTTTATTTAAAGACATATTTATCACTACAGCAGGTTATATATTTTGACAATGTAGTTTTTGGATATGGATCTAAGTGTTTATGTTGACAAAGTGCAAATGAAAGAAAAAAGTACTTGAACAAGTCACAAACAGTTTATTGAATTAATACTTTACCCTCAAGTACAAAGTGTAACTCACTGAATTCATTGATAACAAATCCTGCAAAGATGACAGAACTGCCTGAGTAACTATATTTTTTCAACCAAAATACAACAGGTCAAAGCTTTCACCAAAACTGACAACCGCTCTTCCACTTTAATTTTTCAATGTTTTCTAAGGCATTGTTTATTTCTTGCAGTGAAAATAAACTTTTAAAGGGAATAGCTTGCATCTAAATAGAGCATTAAATGAATCCTGTGCCTCAGTGTTCATATTGTGTCGAGTGGCCGATGATCCTTTTCACAGAAAACCCCATTAATTTGATTACATCCACAGTGTTTCAGTATTCTGGCATGGTTCACAAATTGCAAATTACTTTGAAATCAAAAACAAAAAATTATTGATTTGCCATTCTTTAAGAGCATTACATAGAATACATTTAGCAGGGAGTTTTCCTGAATGATTATTTATTTTAGTGTAGTACATTTCTTGTTCATCTTAACCTTAATCCTAAAGCTCTTCTCTCTGCACTACTACCAAGACACACAAGATAAAATATACAATGTACTGTTGCTTACTAAATTATTTGAAAATGGAAACTTATATTATTTTGGGGGTTTTATTTATCAAGGAGACACAAGACAAGTACCAGGATACATGATCATGGACAGTCTAATGCGTCAAAGAGCTAGTATTTTTACAACACATTTCATTCAACATATTTAATCCAACGTTCTTACAGATTTCTTAAAATCATGAGGAGATGAGCAGGCCAATGGGTTTGGGGGAAGTTAGATAAATGGTCAGTAAATTTAGTTGGCAAGTCTAGTTGGTTAAAGGTCGCTCTCTCCATAGAGGGCAGTGGAGAAGGCGGTGTAGTCCAGTGCACCAGGTGGTGCTCCAGGGCCGGCGTAAGGCGGCATCCTCACGATGCAGTACTCTGCTTGTTCAGGTGGAAGTTCCCTCCTCAGCTCCTCAATCAGTATGTATGGCTGTAGGGATGGACAGAAAATGCAGGTAAGTAATTTTTCCAAAAAAAGGTGTCATGTTCATCCCCCCCCCTTTTCTAATTTAAGCCTATTAACAAAACTCTCTGTAAACCATAAATCAATATGGCATGCAAATACTTGAAAATAATGACTGGAATTGAAAAGACAAGTTTTGGCTCAGAATAGCTGCATGTATGCCAGTAAGCCAGCAAAAACACAAACACACTCAAGGATACCTTGTCAGTTGCCAGGATTCGGAAGGATGCCACAACCTGCTCTGCAGTGTCTGTATCTGCTGTTTCTCTGGTCATAAAGTCAATGAAGGACTGGAAAGAGACTTTTCCAGTACCATTGGGGTCCACAAGTATCATTATACGTGCAAACTCCACCTCCCCCTGAGAAAGGCACAGGAAGAGAATGAGACAAGTTTGTACTGTATAGATGAAAACACAGTTACAGTACGACTGATAATTAAGCCCCATCCAACAGACAACTTTTGGATTACCGTACCAAGTCATAACCCATGGAGATGAGGCAGGCTCTAAAGTCATCAGTCTCCATGGCTCCATTTTTCTTCTACAGTCAGACGCCACATTTCAGGTTCATAGTGCAGGAAATAAGGAGAGTGGATTAAGAGGAGATTACAGAAAAAATTAAGCAAAATAGAGGCACAAATAAAGTGCATTAGATACAATGCAATGATCTAAATTTCTGTATTTAACCAGCAGTCATTTTTGGCTTTTAAAGATATGTAGTGTGTTTTAACTTTTCACAAATGAGACTCAATCAACTACATGGAATCAACTATAACAATTAAAATAAAAGTGTATGGAGGTATGCTTTTAACAACTTATCTTTTGTGGTGTTTTGTTAAGACATTAAAGAAACTAAAGATGAATTGAACTATAAAGGGCCATATTGTGGCTTCAAAAAAGCATATATACTTGCACACACTGCAACATGTAAGTTGTGAACACAGAACACAAACAGTTCTTATCTATGATATCAGAAACACAAGCTGAAGTACGAGACATAAAATATAGCTTATTATGGTCTAACTGTCCATATAAAAACAGCAGCTAAAGTTGATAATGCATTTTGTGTGGTAATCTCTGATGGCTAATGGAGGATTGCTACATTCTCATCCTATTTCTCCACTACATCAGATCCTGGGCCTGGTAAGAACTCCTCCACAGAGAGGACATGTAGGTCACTGCGCCATCTCTAAATACAAGACTACATCTCCTCCTGCGCTCTGCTTCTTATCGCCCAGTGACCCACAGATCAGTCACTCAAATAAAAAGGTCTCAGTTAAAGGAAAGGTATCAAGCTGTACCCTGTCAAAGTGGTTGAAAGATGATCTGAACTCATTCATCTGCTGCTGGCTGATTCCCTTGGCATCCCGGGTCAGGATCTGGGTCTCAATCTCGTTGATTGTTCGGGCGATGGTTGTGAGGAGCAGCTCCCACCCGACACGGATGTGCTGTTGATGTGTTGACAAAGCAGACATAACTTTGAAGGTGCACCTTGACTAGTGCAATAAAAAATATTGTTCAGAAAACTGAAAACCAGATCCATATGTGGGCATGCTCTTGTAACACAAACTATTCTGTACCTCCATAGTGTAGTTAGTGTGTTTGTTATCAAACACCAAGGACTCCTGGATTAGCTGGTGGTCTCCCTCTAACTTGTCGATGTTGGGCTTGTAAGCAACAATGACATGCTCGACTTGCTTCAGCTGGGTCATCTGGTCCTCCAGGGTGCCTCCGATCACCAGGGAGAAGCGCCCGATTTCCTGTTAAGACAAAACAAGGTCAATTTAATTTTTGAAATAAACTTGTCTAAGTCGATGGCTGTTTTGAAGACATCAGTTACCTGTGGCTAAATGTAGAATAAGGCAGAACATAAAGCAACAAAGAAAAAATCCAAGCATAAAGTAGTAAGACTTGGCATTATTTAAACATCATGATTATCAGGAATGCCGCCATCACTGTACCCTTCCATATGTACAAAAGTATTTAAATATAATTATCTTCCACTTTTGGAATGTATTTGATTAGTTGGAGATAACTATACTGCCTATGAGGGCTGTATGTCTAACCTCCATCCTGGTCTGTATCCAGGGACCAATGAGATTAGCCTGGGCAGCAAACTGTCGTCTCAGCCTCTCATTGGCATGCTGACGGGCCATCTCCTCCTGGAGAGCACCATCTCTCTGAGGAACCAGCTTCTTCACCTAGAAAGCACACAGATATAAAGGGCTCGTTTGTAATTTCAGAGTCATCTCCTGACAATAGCCATTTACATTGAGTGGAATTATACTAGTGTAGTTACAATAATCTAAGGTGCTTAGTCCTTGAAGTCAGTGATCAAATATAAGAGAAGCACTTAACCTTTATTTCATCTATGGAATTTAGATTGAGATGTAGTAGCTGTACATGACCAGACAGCTTCCACCTGAATAATCACTATTCCCACAGTGGAAGTGTCTGAATAAATATGATATACGAGCCCTAGCTAGTTAGCTACCTTTTCCCACTTGTTGAGGAGCTCCTCAATTGTGATGGTGGCGTAAGGGTTGATAATGTTGGCCTTGATCCCGTAGCTCTGGGAGATTTTCTGCACCTCATTTTGGATTCCCAGGATGGCCTGTCTCTCTGCATCCGCCTCAGGAAGGGTAGCTTTGAACTGCTCATGAGCTGCGATTAGACTCTGGAAGGTGGAATAGGAAAGTCCTGAATTTTTATTGAAATTTCGCTCAAAAGTGAGAACATTTCATGCTTTTCTCTATTTGAGATGTGACATTCCTACTAACACAACTATATATAATATGAAACATCCATGACACAGGGAAAGTGAGAGCAGGATTAATCCTAACAAGGCTTTTTAAACTGGAAAAATTATGTAAATTTAATTCAGAAGTAGTTGTCAGTTAGCGAGCATAGTGTATTTGAACCTACCTGGACCTCGTCAGTGGTATGCACTATGAACATGTCCTGCAGATCTTCCATGGCTCCTTCCATCCAGTTGTTGAAAGGAGCAGACCTCTTGGCAAACTCCAGGAACAACTGATCAATAGTCTCCAGCAGCTTATCTGTCCGCTGAGAGGATTACAAGACATCACAGCATTATTAAATCCTGAAAAACCTGCAACACCTGACTTCTTTCTCAGTATTAGGCTCTTTTCTCACCAATGCAGGATCCGTCTTATATACAAATCCCCAAACGAACGTCCTATCACCTGTTTAAATGACTCATCCCAGGTGCAAAACATTGGTATGGCCTTGTTCATCCCCAACCCTGGCTTTTTTCCCCCAAAAAAACCCTCCACCCCAACAGGGGACAGCAGGGAGTGGAAGATGAGACAAAAAGCAGACCTCTGTCCCTGTCATTCAGACTTAATCCTTGGCCCTTTGCCCGGGCCCTCACACATTTGCAGTTTGGAATGGCCAGCATGGATCAGAGGAAGTGGCTGGTGGGCCATCAGCCAGTCACTTTCTGTACAGGACTCTTACATCTATTTCTCCTTTATCCCCTTCACCCCTCCCATTTTACCATTCTATCTGGGTCAGGGATTTTAAAGGGGATCCAATTATCTCTCCTCATTAATCAGTTGTGTCTTCACTTTTCAGATGTCATTGACAGACACTGGAATATGCTTACACTAAGTCAGTCTTGGACGCAACTTCATCCTGTATCTTTTGTGGCCCAAGTGGAACATTAGCGCACTCTTGTGGGGATTTGGCCCAACATGCGCAAAGAAATGAATCCTTCAAATTTCAAGAAATCACCAGCTATAACAAACACACACTTAAAGCTCATGAGAGATAGCTTCTCAACTGTCAATGAATGCTTTTCATCTGCAACTGTAAATTCAAATGACATTCAAATGTATTCCTTAAGGCAACTGGGCTTCATTTTAGTTAAAGATCTTCAACAAAGTCCAATGGCATTTTGGATAACCACATCAGGGATGATTGAGAACCTTCACAGACAGTGATATTTTGATCTTATTCTTAAATGTTGCCTTCACCTCCAAAGACTCCCTTCTCTTCTGGGTCAGAGTCCCCAGCTTGTCCCACAAGTCACAGATGCTCTGGCAGCGTTGGTTCACAGCAGCAACATCATGATAGTCAAGCTCACTGAGAAGGGGACAAAAAATAAAAAAAACACACGTCAGTTGAGGATAAGAGCATTAAATTACAGGGTATGTCAGTGTCTGTGGTGCACAACCAGAAAAAAAAAGTTCAAACCATGAAACACCGCTGCACTGGAACAAATTAAGGTGGATAATCAAAGATGCTTGATTTAAGTTTATAAATTGGGCATTTTGTTGGTGCTGGGGATGCCAAGACTTGTCTTTAGCATTTCAATTTTAGACAACCAACTGGTCAGTGCCTCTGTATATTTAGACACCCTCTCCCCCCCCACTGGCTACACAAAGAGCAAAATTATTAGAAGTCTTGAGCTGTAGGACTTAATTTGCCACATTCCCTTTTGGTACAACAGCACTGTTGCAGTTCTCTGGTTCCATGAAGAACAACATATAACACCCACAGTCCTATTTAAAGTTTTTTTTATTAAAATTTCAGAAGCAGCAAC